ATTGGAAAATCAACTTACATTTTAAGTGACTTGAATGGTTTAAATATAAAGGGTCCATATCACACAGAAAGTCTGAAGAAATATTTTTAAAAAACAAAACCTGCAAAAGATACAAAGGAGGATGAGGGTAGTAAAAAAAAAATAATAATAAAACACACAAAAAATAAAAATAAAATAATGAAAACAAAATCATTTAAATTAACATATAATCCTAACAGAAAACAATAACAATAAAAGCCAAATAAAAAAAAAATACATATAAAATAATGAATAATAAAAAAAAAAAACTTTATGAAATGTATTATTATGAACACAACACTAATCTTCTTTTGAATTTGCAAAACAGATGATGGCAGCAGCTAACTTCTACATTCCAAAGAAAGGAGGAAAGCGTCACCACGAAGCCTTCCGAAAGTGGCTGGCCAAGCTCCCACTTGACGACCCGAGACGAGTGCAGCTTGCTTCAGGCGTCAAGCCGAGAACGAAACTAGCGAATCTCCTGGAGATCAACAACAGGAAGCTGGAGGCTCAGAAGCAGCGAGAGGTGCTCGGTAGACGGTGCGAGCAGCTATCTGAGGAGGCGGACATCACTAAGTACGCCGATGTCCAAGCCAAGAAGAGGCTTACAGAAATGGAGAGGGTGCTGGGCTACCCTATCGTCGCCCGGAAGTATGTCTTGCATCCTTGCGACATACCACCAAAGGGACCCCCAACTGAAGACTCCAGCGACCGGGAGGTGCGGCGCATCCTGCACGAGATGAAGGTCCAGGAGCCCATTCAAAGGATTGATCCGGTGACCAGCATCTTCAGCCCGCCTAAAGCCCATCCTGAGGAGGACGTCCTGGAGATGGAATTAGAAGAGGATTTCACCCTGGAGTTTTAGAGGACTCTTCAAGACTCCAACCTAAAGACTGTTATGTATTATTAGTTGTAAGATTCCATGTTCCTATTAGTTATTTTATTTTTTGCTCATTTCAAGACTGATTTATCTAAATTTTTAAAATTTTCTGTGATATTAGAATTTTGTGAAACTCGCAATAACAATTAGCTTCGTCACAAAATTGAGGGGACAATTACGACGTTACCAAAATTTACCGCCGTAATAATAATATAATAGGCCTACTCAATTAACCAAATTTAGATTACTATCAAGCTTTCTAATAGGCTCAAACAATAACCAATGAAAGACGTTATTCCAAATAGCCTAGGTTGTTGCACAGTTGCAATAAACACCGATCCTCTTGATGCTTTGTAATTTCAAGGTAATAATAAATAAAATTCTAATAAATACCTCTCTAATTAATAGCAGATTTAAGTCAAATTTCATTAATGAATAACTTGAGATAACCTACAATACGTACACTTACCGTTTCGATATCATAACGTCTGCCGATACAACTTTTACTTTCATCAAAGGCCGTAATTAAATTATCATTTATTAGACTCCGACTAATCATTCTTTTATTTAAATTATCCTATAACTGTGATTTGTTTTAATTACTGTAAGATTGTTTAAATTCATATTAAGAATAACTTTATACGGATGCCTATTTACAATCATCACTAACATAACCTCCAGGACATGACATTTGACAGACATCGGTACCCGGCCCGGTTTGAGAATTGAGTGAGAGGAAGTAAAACAATCACATTACGTCATATAGTTTTTTCTGCGCGGTACGTACTCCGGTATCATGGCAGGGCGGGATTTTTGAAAGAGGGAAGACTTCTCTCTTGTTAACTCGGCTTTTTTAGCTGGAAGAGTAGAGTCCTCAAAGCTACATTCGGCAAACACTACACTCGGCTTTGTGCTGGAGTTGGTAAGAGCTGAAAGTTGGCAACTTAAACTACAGATTAGGTTTTCTTTATTAACAAAATTAAATTTCTTTCTCAGGGGTTACATTATTGCGAGTTAGGGAATTCTTGAGTCATTAATATTTTGTGATATAATTTAAAGTAGATTTTTTTTCAATTTCAAGTTAAATATTTATGAATTGTTAAATATTTGCGAATTGTTAAGTGAGAAAGATCACTGTGATAATTATTTAATAAGACTGAATGTTAGATTTAATAAATTTGTTGAATAAATATTTAATTGTTACAGCATAAACTCTTGACTTATTATTGTAGGGACACGCTCTCATCTCTCTAGACATAAATAAAGAAAATACAAAATCATAATAAGCTCAGATAAGAAACAACCCCACTCATTAAATCGGCTGGCAAAGAACCTCTCCCTGAAGATAGCTCATTGCTCTGCAAAAAATAGCTAGGGTAACAAAAATAACCAGAATTTTGAGTTGGAGTGTTGTAGGTTGTTGTAGCTCAAATAATCATAGTCTGTGACTATTACTAAAATTTGACTGGTGGACAACTCACAACTTTAAAATTAAATTACATTCCCAATACAAGATTTCTCTAAAATGTTTTCAGACGTTTTGATTCTGCATACTGCTTTTGGTATGAGAACGAGATAGCCTATATTAATTTAAATGGGCACCAGACCAGTGGTATAGAGAATTTGGGGCTCATAAAGTTGCCAAAAGAGGCCAATTACCATCTTAATAATAATAAAAAAAACGATGTGTATTTATTTCTAATTACAGAACTTTGTAATCTTGTGCTCACCACCCCAAACAAAACACTGAATTCATGCTAATGCATCCTTAGTAAATAATCTATTTTTGTTTGCTTGGCAGCAGATGTGTCACTATATGGCCCCTATTAGACGAGGTAGTCTGGCGACGTCGCCAGCGACCAAACTGGCTACTCAGCTTGTCAAAGGTCATTGATTCTTATGGATGTTATTACACGAAGGTAGCCAGCGACGCAGCCACACTTTGGCGACCGTCTGGCTACCGAGCCCCGTCGCCACTGCGGTAGCCACTGGCTACCCATATTAGCGATGCTGCGTTGTAGCATATGGAGCTTATTACACTAGGTCGCCAGTATCACGTCGCCACTCGGTCAGTTCATATCACGGGTGCACTTGCACACTGTTGTGTTGCGTTCTGTTGTGTTGCGTTCTGTTGTGTTGTGAGTGGGTGAATTGTTCACTTCAGTTGATAAAATGTCTACATCTGATTCAATCGAAGGGATACGCGAAGATATGAAGAAAAAAGAAGAACCTCCGAAAGGCGAACAAAAAAAAAGAAGCAAATAAAAAGCAAGAAGAGCTCATGAAAAAGTGTCAGAAGTTGGCCGACACAAAGTTGAACACTGAAGACTTTATTAGTGAAATCGAAAAACACCCTTGCGTTTGGAACTGTGCTGTAGAGGAGTTTAGCAACAAACATGTGCAATTGAGGTGTAATACATCTTCGGGTGTAGTACATCTCCTCGGGTGTAATACATCTTCTCATTGCAGTATCAGTTCCAGTTATATCATCCTTTATGAGACCTAACAACTCGAAAAAACTGGATTGTGACATACGAAAATAATTGAAAAATTTTGTATTGTCCGCACAGAGCTCATCAAAAAGGGTGTAATATAACCCTTTCGATTCTCTTGCACTAAGCATTGGATTAACATATATTTTTCTCTTCCTTTGCGTCCTTTTCTTCAGAAGTAACAAAAGGAGAAGATACTTATAATCATTATTCACTCATTATTCACTGTAAACATACCGCTCATAACAAGTACAAGTACAAGACAAGCACTCACAACAAAATGAGTTACGGCGGTAAAATTCTAGCTACTCAACTGGCTACTAGGTCTGGTGGCCAGTGCGTCGCCAGCTACTGTCGCTGGCGACGTCGCCAGGCTACCTCGTCTAATAGGGGCCTATTATTACCTATGTTAGGAGTAGGATTGGTGGTTGAGAATTGTTGTTAGGGGCAAGAGAGGAGGGAGTAATCTTTGGACCCAAAAACTTTTTAAGTTAATTGTGTTATGGCGGACTGCAACTGTGAGTAAGAACGTCGTCCCATAAGATGAGTGCAATACTATTTTATGTTTTGTTATAACCAGCAAATAGCCTCAGTATAACATGTAGTGCATTCCAGTTTGTATTAAAAAAGTTGTACAAGTTGCAGCACTAAAAGAGTAACAGGCCAACAGGTCCTTGACAATAACTACTGCAGGGGGAATCTATGACAAAAGGGCTGGATACGCCTACCAAAAATAATTAGTTTAGAAAAATAGATTATTTCAGAAAAGAAGTGGTAAATGGTTTAGTGAATGCTAAACAAACTACAACCTCAGGTCACAAAAGAGCAAAGAAAAGTGCAGCTGGTGCAAAAATATCCCTTGCACTTACATCACCTTACACTAAGCAATTCAAGATTACATGATGATGCAATGCAGTGAATTCCGTTACCAAAAAAAACTCTCGCGCCAGCAGTCAATATTTTAACCCATTGATGCAATGTCAAAATCAGGCTTTGATAAGTGATAACTTTCAGGTTTTCTATTGTAATAATTTTTACTGAGCGTAACGTTGCTCCGATAAGCACTCCTTCAAAAGGCACAGCTCCGAAAAAAATACATGGTTAAGGTCCTGCTGCAAAAGGAATGAAAGGATAAAGCACTGCTCCCAAAAGGATATGGCCATGGAAGGCACTGCTCCGAAAAAGGATATGACCATGGCAGGCATTGCTTTGAAAAGAATATGACTAATGCAGGCACTGCTCCAAAATGGATACCATACAACTGAGGCAGGCACTTCACCAAAAAGAATACAAGGCCAAGGCAGGGTTGCTCTAAAAAGAATGCAACGACAAGGCAGGCAACGTTAAGGCAAGCTATACTCTGAAATTAATACAACTCCAAGGCAGGCACTGCAACAAAAGGAATACAATGTCAAGGCAGGTACGTGCTTCGAATAATGTGTTTTAAGGCATTGCACCATAAGAACGTCCAGGATCAGGCACTGTTATGAAAGACACTACCCTAAAAATGTCTTTTAAATCAGTGGCTTTTGTAGGTATCCCATTTGGAGCAGTTCCTCGCTCTCCAATTTTTGTTAGCAGTGATTATTGAATATGCTAATACAACGCACCTTGTTGAGAGAACTAAGGAAGTCATCATTGTTGGATAACATTGACAGTCCCTGAGACAGCTGTTGACACATGGCACTGACAGGGTCTGCTTTGTCATTGTGAGGTGACACTTCAGGTATGGGACTGACTGTAACATAACACAACATTATCAACCACCACTGACAAAACATAGTAACATTGACAGTCCCTGAGACAGCTGTTGACACATGGCACTGACAGGGTCTGCTTTGTCACTGTGAGGTGACACTTCAGGTATAGGACTGACTGTAACATAACACAACATTATCAACCACCACTGACAAAACATAGTAACATTGACAGTCCCTGAGACAGCTGTTGACACATGGCACTGACAGGGTCTGCTTTGTCACTGTGTGGTGACACTTCAGGTATAGGACTGACTGTAACATAACACAACATTATCAACCACCACTGACAAAACATAGTAACATTGACAGTCCCTGAGACAGCTGTTGACACATGGCATTGACAGGGTCTGCTTTGTCACTGTGTGGTGACACTTCAGGTATAGGACTGACTGTAACATAACACAACATTATCAACCACCACTGACAAAACATAGTAACATTGACAGTCCCTGAGACAGCTGTTGACACATGGCACTGACAGGGTCTGCTTTGTCACTGTGTGGTGACACTTCAGGTATAGGACTGACTGTAACATAACACAACATTATCAACCACCACTGACAAAACATAGTAACATTGACAGTCCCTGAGACAGCTGTTGACACATGGCACTGACAGGGTCTGCTTTGTCACTGTGTGGTGACACTTCAGGTATAGGACTGACTGTAACATAACACAACATTATCAACCACCACTGACAAAACATAGTAACATTGACAGTCCCTGAGACAGCTGTTGACACATGGCACTGACAGGGTCTGCTTTGTCACTGTGAGGTGACACTTCAGGTATGGGACTGACTGTAACATAACACAACATTATCAACCACCACTGACAAAACATAGTAACATTGACAGTCCCTGAGACAGCTGTTGACACATGGCACTGACAGGGTCTGCTTTGTCACTGTGAGGTGACACTTCAGGTATAGGACTGACTGTAACATAACACAACATTATCAACCACCACTGACAAAACATAGTAACATTGACAGTCCCTGAGACAGCTGTTGACACATGGCACTGACAGGGTCTGCTTTGTCACTGTGAGGTGACACTTCAGGCATGGGACTGACTGTAACATAACACCACATTATCAACCACCACTGACAAAACATAGTAACATTGACAGTCCCTGAGACAGCTGTTGACACATGGCACTGACAGGGTCTGCTTTGTCACTGTGAGGTGACACTTCAGGTATGGGACTGACTGTAACATAACACAACATTATCAACCACCACTGACAAAACATAGTAACATTGACATTCCCTGAGACAGCTGTTGACACATGGCACTGACAGGGTCTGCTTTGTCACTGTGAGGTGACACTTCAGGTATGGGACTGACTGTAACATAACACAACATTATCAACCACCACTGACAAAACATAGTAACATTGACAGTCCCTGAGACAGCTGTTGACACATGGCACTGACAGGGTCTGCTTTGTCACTGTGAGGTGACACTTCAGGTATGGGACTGACTGTAACATAACACAACATTATCAACCACCACTGACAAAACATAGTAACATTGTTACTATCACAATCATCATAAACGGAAACAAATCTCCAGTGGCCAGACAATTGTTCAACTTAAATCATCTTAGGTACTCTAATTGGCTAATAGAGTTTACTGCTAAACTACTAACAAAATACTGCAGTTTGTTGTATTCAAATCATAAAGAATGGTTTTAAAAGAGAACTGCTTTCGAATCCTGTATTTTTAAAATCCGCCTATTTTGAATCTCTACACTTAAGTTTTCAAACACAACAGATTTAAGGGGTTCAAGTACTACAGCGCCAGCCGTCCAGTAACTTTGGGTCATTGTTCTCACTCAAGATCAATGCCATTTGCCACTCTCCTCTGACCGATGATCTCCCGATGCAAGTTTGGAAATTATTATTATTTCTTTAAAGTACAAAGCTAATATGAAATTCAGAACATTTGTTTGCAGTCACGGCAGAAACAAGTAGGTACATCTTACATGATCATGGCACAATCGTGAACATCATCTGTGGTCCTAGGGACATCATCAGCATAGTCTTCCGCGATCATGGCAAAACTGTGAACATTACCTTGAACAATTTTTTTACTACGCATCTTTGCAAACGTTTTATGGGATCGTGAAAACAAAAGCTAGGCGTGACTACATAAAAATCTTCAGAGGTAACAGCTAAACCGTGAACATCTTCCGCCATTGCGGCAAAACCGTGATCTGCCATTGCAATGATCAATTATTACAGAAATCCGCTTATTCTGAATTCCCACTTATCCGAACCTAACAGGATTTGGCCCCAGTCAGTTCAGAAGGGTTAGACTCTACTGTATATACTCTGATTTTACATGTTATGTACAACACAAGCATTAGTTGAACTAAATTTAAATGGATTTAACAAAATCATATTTACAAAATAAATATTAACCCTCCGAGTGTTATTTGTCGATGCGTCGACACATAACACACTTTGTGTAGTGTTTTGTGTCGATGCATCGACTCACAAACACTGTTTACGGCGAAGGCTCTATGACTGACAAAATCGGATTGAACTGGATCGAGTTAGGTATCGTTTTATTTGTCTTGTATCTTGTAAACAGCTTGGTTAACCTTGCACCGATGACTGATGTGTTTTATTACGTTTATCATTGATTTAGTGTTAAAAATCAAAAGTAGTGATATACAAGGTGCATTATAAGAAGATTTAAGTGATTTTGAAGGGCTGGTTGATGATCCTGAAGAATTAGGTAGTGATATTGATGTAAATTATCAGCCAGATTCCTAGCTATGGTTAGGCTATGCATTCTTAGCTAAACGCTATGTACTGAAATCTGTTTCTTGCCCATAACTTATTTATTTGCAAATCTACTTCCTTATATTTTTATATATTTGTAATCCTCATGAAATTTAGAACAAAGTGGCTATTTTCAAATATTTATAGGCCTATAATTTATACGAACTTATTTTTTTTTTGAAAATTTTCCAAAATATTTTTGTTTACTTAAAATTTTTTTGAAACAAATGTTTCTTATGTTTTATAGATAATATTGAAGCCCATGATTTTCCAAACAAAATGGTATATAGAACAGTATAATTAACATTGTTTTCAAGCTTCTCAGATCCGTTTAAAAAAAAAACCTTGTAAATGAGCAAAAAATAGGCAGACATTAAGGCCAAAACAAGGGACTTACTTGATACTTGATACTTGTAGTCTATGTCGTTGACCAAAGAAATCGGCATGACTGCGTCAGATTACTAAATACTAAAATACTATTTACACAATACTATTTACACCGCGGACACTCGGAGGGTTAAGTATCCGAATATACAAAGGTTGACTCAATCAATCAGTAACAAGCATATCTACCAATAACATACTATACAACACGAATAATAACATAATGTATTAGGGTATACTTTAGAAAAGACAATATTCTAAATACTAATGAGATAATGGGTCAAAAACTGTTTTTTTTATGAAACTCACAAAGAGCAGCTGACGGTAAAGATAATAATCTGCGTCGGCATTTAATGCCTTCTGAAATAAAGAAATAAACGTAAAAATAGCTGAATGTTTAAGCAAAATAGCACTAAAACACTTCCTTTTTCCCAACTTCTTGAATAACAACAAATATAGGTTAGACCAAGAAAATTTGAAAAAGTGGAATTTACAACAGGATAAAAGTAATCTTACTGGTCTATCTGATTGTTAAGAAAAAGTTAAACTTCACAACTAACAATGCTCCAGATATAATAAATAACAGTTACTGAATGGTCCGAATCAAAGTGAATCAGGAAAATTCGAGAGCCTATAATATAATTTTATAAAAATAATTATTCTAGAGTCTAAATTCAAGAATTGATGTTTACAACCATATGGATACTAGAAATTTTTGGATGTTGAGTTACCCTCTTAAAAATTACTATTCAAAAATCTCAGTGAGAAAAAATATTTACAATATTAAATAGGCCTAGAAAATTAAATTTAAAGAGGAATTGAAGAATGCTCTTGTTATCCGCGGACACTATCCATGTTCCATGTTCTACAGTAACATGTGTTTACCATGTTCTACAGTACCTGGAGTTTTCAGATGTATAAGTGCCGGAGTTCTTGAGTCATCTACTTGCAGACTCATTGCTCGAGTTCGCTCCAAATTACTCGGCAAGTCACTGATCCTCAACGAGAGTTGCCGCTTAAAAGGACTCGCCTGAAAAAATTAAAGTTTTAATGAGTAAACCTTCAAAGACTTCAAGTGGAATCCTATATATTAATAGGCAAGCACATTTCTTTAAAACCTTTTATCTCAGCTTGTGTGCATCGCAGGGAAAATCTACGCATACTGTTAGAAGGATATTTTCCTGTAGATGTGCAGAATCCCTTTATAATTAAAATAGGCAAAAAATAAGCAATAAATATGAATTTAAAAAAAATAACAAGGGGCCTATTGGGTTATAGTAACCTGTTGACAAAATAACAAAATATAAACAGAAAATCAAAACAAATTAGTAGAAAATCCCAAAGCATCAGCGTCATTTGAGCCTAACCACACTCCTCCAGCACACCCCTACTAATCACAGTACCATCTTAAAAGTAGGGGTACTTCCCTCCCCACTCTGTATATAGGTAAAGTATCATTACCTGGTTCAGCTGGTTAAAGCCGCGGAAGGAGCCTTGTCGTTGTAGCATGGCTATGTTGGCGTGGGGTCGTTCTATCGCGTGAGGGTTGCTGATAGGCTTAGGTGTTGTCTGCGTCTGAGGCGCTACAGTGGCTACTGGCACTTCTACAACACATCAGGATGTCAATCAGATTTTTATGGAGCAATGTACATTGATTGTTTTAAGAAGTTACATTTTACAGTAATCTGTTTCTTTTAGTCTTTAAATGTTTCACATGTGAAAAAAACACTCTTATATTTGTACCTTTTCATCCCTACAGGCGTAAACAAATATGAGGGCAATTTTATAAGGGCCGTTTTGCGGACATGTCCGTACCTCCCGTGTACGCCACAATGGAGCTCCTCGCCCAGTTACTTGCACCATTTTTGAACAGAATGACAACATTTGCAGCTCTGTAGCTGTACCTACGCTTAGCTACGTGTTTTAAAGATTTTTCAAATTGTTGTCCCTCCCACCACGAGCACGATAAGATATGTTTTTTGGTTACAAGAAATAGAAGTGTCCTTTAATGGTTATTGGTTCCTGAAAAAATTTAGAAAAGTTTTTAATTAAAAATTCCAATGTTATTCTTATGAAGAATAAGTAACCTATTGTAGTTTGATTGTTTATGGATATATTTTGATCAAACTTGGCAAATTTATTTATTTTATACTAAGCTAATATATTTTTGAATACACTTTATTACCCTCCCTATAGCAGAAAACCTGGGTACTTGTTAAACATAATGTTAATTAAATAGATTTAATTGTAAATATAATCAGGTGAATGGAAATTCGCTTAGTCTGCAGGTTTGCTGCGGCAGGGGCAATTTACTATGTGGTCAGAAGTCAGAAGTCAGTGTACCCACCAAAGACACAATTCCTTTCGAAATGAACATTTTCACAGCCCATTTTAAAACTCCCTAGCCCATTTCTGCACTTTCCCCTCTATCATTGCACCAGAGCCATAACCTTCAGTTATCTGGTGATGAATGTCGGTATCGGATAGTATTCTTGTAATAAAAAAAAACGTATCACTGACCTTATCTCGCACACAGCAGAGATTCAACAATTTTAACAATTTTGAACAAAGCACAAACATCAGCTACAGAGCTGCAAATGGTGTCATTCTGTTTACAAATTATGCAAGAAACCAGGAAGGATTCTTGTTGCGTACAGGCAACCTACAGAGCTGTACACAAAAACGACTCTTACTTAAATAAATTCCCTCTTAAGTCACCTTAATGTAGCGCTATACGGTACACAAGCCCTAGAATTGATATTTCTGTTTAGTTGAACACTGCAGTACAGTATACAAAAATGTTGACATATAAAGTATGGTTTTGAAAAACTATCCATTCTCTTTTTTAATGCTTCAAAATTTTCAAAATTTCAGCTCCTGTACTGAGCTATCCAAGTAAGAAGGAATCTACTTTAAAATCGTTTATGTACAAATCCATGGTTTGGCTCCATGATGTTAATTGTATAATTGCATTGTACTGAAACTGTTTGTGTGGTATTTTTGTTTCAAATAAACAGCCTACTACAACATCAAATTGTCTGCTTTTCTTCACCTAATTGCTCAATTTTCCATTCAAATTAAGCAAATTGTATCTCCTGAAGAGTAAATATGGGGAAATAGAAAAGTTCTCTCAATTATTTGACTCCTTTATTAAAATGAAATAGAAATAATTAAATAATTTCAAAAGTACTAATTGTTTGTAATTTATAAAGATACACGTGTTTACCAGAGTTGGTTTTGTTGTTCTCCTGTTTCTCGCTGAGCCTGTCCGTGATAGTAGGTTGTCGGAAGCTGCCAGTTCGAGTGAACGTGTTGTTGCTGGTGTCGAAGCTCATCGTCACACCGCACTCCTTGTCTCGTCGCAGCTTGCGTTCCAAACACGCGGCAAACGCACATCCCACAGCGTGACTTAGCCTCTCACCCTGTGTACAACCACAATGTTAAGATGACAGCTGTTGACTAAAAATCTGGCTTTTACAAGATAAGTTGTCATATATTACTCCAAATATGGTGCCAAAACTAATTCACAAGCTAATAAAAGCCAACTTCTAATATAAACCTACTCTTTGAACTGGCAATCAAAATCAAACCGTTAGCCTATTAGGCATTATAAAAAAAACCAATATTTATTGAAAACAAAACTTGAACTATGAACAAATTAGAATTCATTGTCCTACTTCTGGATATTGCTTTATATTAATTAAATTATTATTGTTACCTTACAATATCCGTTTGGTGTTGGTAGATAGACAACTACATGTTTCGTGGCGACTGCCACATCCTCAGGTTATCCTCTTCTCAGATTCGTCATCAATTTAAAAATATAAAACACTGAACACACGTAGAAAAACACATTACATTAAACATTTATTTTGATACCGTCACGGTGCGTGCACGCGTTTGGTCGGGCCGGCGGCGACATCCAGTCGCGACAGTCGCCGCCGGCCCGACCAAACGCGTGCACGCACCGTGACGGTATCAAAATAAATGTTTAATGTAATGTGTTTTTCTACGTGTGTTCAGTGTTTTATATTTTTAAATTGATGACGAATCTGAGAAGAGGATAACCTGAGGATGTGGCAGTCGCCACGAAACATGTAGTTGTCTATCTACCAACACCAAACGGATATTGTAAGGTAACAATAATAATTTAATTAATATGAACAAATTGGCCAATGACTAATTCAATACATAGCCAAATTACCAAGTACTTTGTACTGTTAGTCAAATTATTGAGTACCAACTGTGGATTCTATTAAGAATTGGACTTACAGACTCCTTGAGCGCCAGGAACCCGTGGCACATCCAGCGCCGAGTGGTCCCATCCCTGCAGATGTAGGAGAACCCTTTATCATGGTTCCTGTCTGGCGCACAGAACGATACCTTCTCTATCGTCTGGTCCACTATCAGTCCCTGCAACATGGTGAATAAGTGATGAGCTCGATAAATCTAACTAAATACAATCCAATAACTTTGACTATATTAAATAACTATTTAATTATGAGTGATGAAATGCTGAATGCTGCAGACTGATTTTCCTTTCCTCAAGACATTATCTACCTGGTCACACTGTATCCCCATACAGTCATCTCACTAATCCAAACTCCGCTAGTATAAAAGCTAGTTCAAACCCAGCTAAACTGATTTCTGCTAATCCGAACTTCGCCAATCCGAGTGGCCCGTAAATCCAAACTACCTAGCAGTATTCTATTCGGTTGGTTCTCTTTAAAGATTGTGGTGTATTAAGAAGAACCCGATCGTAGAAAATTATCAGTGATGGGATGATAGAGGGAGGAATATATGGACATTAACAGTCATAAGAGATACATTGATAAAAAATTTTTCACAAAATCGTACTGCATAAAATACGGCAATATTGAACAGGGTCCCGTCCCAATTAGTTCGGGTTATCAGGACTCTAATATATGGGTCAGGTGATTATGTTAACACAAACAATGTCTATCACTGAAAAACAATTGGTTAAAAACTTTAAATGATTGACTGTAACCAATGAATACAATTTAAACAGTGAAATCTAACCCAAACGACAGCACTTAATATAGACAACACATTCTAGTCCTATCCTCCATCAATCAAACCGACAGTTATCTGGCTTCAATTGGGCTAATTAATGGAAAGTCTTTTTCCATGTCCATGAGACAAGGATTGATTATAAAACATAAGTAATTAAAACATTAACATTGCACGTTGTTTAATTGCTTCAAATAAATCAAGTTTATAAGATTATTTCCACTATCAATTTCATAAAAAGTCTTTTTTGACATTTTTTTTATAACCTAGTAAGACCAATTGAAAAAAAAAACGACGATATAGTTACATAAAAAATAGTTATTCGAGTAACGCTTCTAAAAAAAAAAAAAAAGAAAAACTTTAGACAAAGATATTTATTATGAGGTAGTTGTAACTAATAAAGTTGTTGAATCTTTACTAATAATTATTTACCTACCGCTTAGAAAGCGACCTCCTCCAACATTGGTTTAGCATTAGCGCGCAGGTCGTTTTCTAAGCGGCCTAACTATAGTAGCCTAACTAATCTCAAAGCAGTTGAAACAAGCAAAGTTATCACTGACAAACTTTTAGGGCACAGGGAAACTTTTAGCTCAAAGACAGCTTTGAGACACAACTTGTATCTCATTGCAACCGCAACAAGTAACTTCAGTTTTGTAATTACCACTTGCAAATCTCAGCGTGTTCTCTAAGATGCAACTAACTCAACCAGTACCTCGAGTAGAATCTCAATGTTTGTTGTTAAATTGTCTGGTGAATATTTCTTTGTGCATGATTCATTCTAAATGTACTGTAATTAGCTAGTAATGTACATAATGCTGTTTAGCTATTTTCACTTACAACAACTCTGAACCCAGATGAATTTTATTTTTCATTAGGCTGTCAATTAATGATGTTTTTAACAGAAGGTTCATGTTAAATAGTACCAAATACAGGGTTTAGATGGTTTTGACCTGCCTTAATAAATATTAACAATGCAAACGGCATACAAAAAGGTACAAATCACAAACACATAAACATTTATTTTTAGTTTGTTTAGTATTAGAGTTAAGTTTTTAAGATACAGACTTTTTAGCTAAAAACAGCAATTCTATCGAACTATTCTCAACCAATTTTTTGTTTTTGTCAGCAAAACAAAGTGTTTAGTACAATATCATTGAGAAAATCTTAATTTAAATGTTTAATACTTTGAAGCAAGGAGTTCTAAAACCAACCGTTCAGAGATAGTGTCTGGTGTGACTTGCATTACTTATGAACTGTCTCTGAACTAAAGCATCAGAACTTAAGCAGGATTATAGAAGGTGCTGTAGAGTGAGGATGGTTGTAGCAAAGCCAATATTTCAGGGTGATGAAGCCATCCCCTCTCTTCCCACCCTTATTTGTCCAGCCCAGGTGTTTCTGACATAATTCATTTTCAGTTTACCTTCCAATTTTTACAGATTGGATTCTTCACATCTTTCAACACCCATAATAAATCAACAAAAATTACATTGTCCAATGGTGTCGCACTATTTTACGTGACCCGTAAATAAATTTTGTTTGGCATTGAAAAAGATCTTTTAAATTTTGTTGGGACATATTTTAATAATTTGTATCTTAGTACATTCTGGAAATTTGCCATGCAATTTAAGATGGGCTTTGAATCAGAATAACCTATTTGAATGACCGACTATTTTGTTGAGTATGCTCCGGTACAATTATATTTTATCCCTCAGTTTTAGCGAATTTCCCTATAGGGAAGTAGCTATTACCGTAGGTGGCACGGTAAGACCTAGACCCGGGACCGATTTACTTTTTCATTTTGATGTCCCAAGAGGCCAAAAACACTATTCGTTCAAATTTTTATATATCTAATATATAAAATTCTCGTGTCACAGTGTTTGTCTGCAAACTCCTCCGGAACGACTTCACCGATCGTTATGAAATTTGGTGTGTAAATTCTGTAGGTATGCGAATCGGACGTAAACTATTTCCCGTTTCGAAATTCTTAAAAGGGCTCCGCCCCAGTGGCTCTGGAGTTTCCCATGTTAACCTTATGAGAAATGGAATTAATGAATCTTAACAGCTGTTTCAATTAAACAAGTTGGTTCTGTTCTATGATGTTCAATAGCATTAAAGTTACAAGGATTACCAACAGGGTGCAGCACTATTATTTCTTTTACATTTATGACAACAGCTAATTTGCAACCAAAAGGTGAGTGAGCGTAGCGAACGAACTTCAACCTGGAGGCGAGTGAGCGTAGCGAACGAGCTAACCTGAAGGCAAGTGAGCGCAGCGAACGAGCTCCAACCTAAAGGTGAGTGAGCGTAGCGAACGAGCTCCAACCCAAAGGTGAGTGAGCGTAGCGAACGAACTTCAACCAGGACGTGATTGAGCGATGCGAACGAGATCATCTTGAAAATTAAACGTAACGGTACTTTCTTTCCATCGGTCTGTCTTAGGGGAAACCTATAACTTAGGCGATACGAAGTTCGCCGGGTCAGCTAGTGTATATATAAATAAATAAATATATCTTTATTGTCACATAAACGTTTTACAGATTACATAGCATAAGCTACAAAAACAGGTGACATTGTCAATATAATCATATATCATAATAAGTACCTAAAATACTAAAAAATAAACAATGATTCTTACAAATAATTATTTGGGTTATTTTATAAAACATAATATTTGCTAATTTAAAAAATTACCATCATTCAAAAATTCGTCAATACTATAATATATTTTGTTTACAAGAAATGAGGCAAGGCTGCTTTTAAAAGATGTTTTGTTTATTAAACCTTTATATTTTGGTTGCAGTTTATTAAACAATTTCTTTCCCATATATTTTGGTGTTTTTTCTATTAATTTTAATCGGTGAATCGGAAACTGAAAATTCTTTTTGAAACGGGTGTTATATGGATGGTCAAAATTCTCCGCACATAAGTTTTCAAAATTTGATTGTACCATTAATAAGGATTTAAAAATGATTAAACTTGATACAGTCATTATATTAAGTTCTTTAAAAATTGGTCTACATGATTGTTTTCGTTTAGCAAATGTCATTAGGCTATTCTTAAGTATTTTTTTTTAACATTAAAAATCTTTTCTATTTCTGATGAGAATCCCCAAAATTCAATCCCATAATGCAATATTGAATAAAAATAGGCATAATATATCATTAAACGTGTTTTCATATCCAAAATATTTCTCAAACAAAGCATTTGGAAACAGGCAGAATCAAGCTTATGTAATATGTTTTCAATGCACTTGGCCCAGGTTAAATTTGAATCAACATACAAACCTAAAAATTTTGTACATTTAACAGTTTTGGTTCTTGTGTTATGTATGAAATTTCGGGATTGTATCGTATTAAATTTTACTAGTTGTGTTTTTTCTGGATTTAATTTTAGTCCGTTTCTACAATCTATATATATAAGTCTATATATATATATAGACTTATATATATATACGTCCGTGAACGCGATAACTTGAGTAATTTTTGTCCGATTTTGATGAAATTTGGTTTAAAGGTGTAAAGCGGGATAAACTTGAATGAGTTCGCGAACCAGCACGATCGGACCATGGGAACGGGGCTTTACGGGGGGTTTTATGGGGTAAAAATTGGTTTTTCTCACTTTTGACCCTCAAAACACAAAATTTAGTATATAAAAGTATTTTTGTTCGATTATTAGTAACGGAGAAAATTAAAAAAAATTGTAAATTTAAAATTCCCATGTTATTCTTATGGAGAATATTTTCAAATGTTGTAGTTTGCTTGTTTATAAATATATTTTGATCAAACTTGGCAAATTTATTTATTTTGTACTAAGCTATCAATATTTTACTCAAAAACACACTTTATTAGTTTCCTTGTAGCAGCAAACCTAGGTACTCGTTAAACCTAATGTTATTAAAATATATTTAACTGAAAATCAATTCAGACAAATGGAAATTCGCTTAGTCGGCAGGTTTGCTGCGGCGGGGGTATTTAATAGTATTATATTGGTAATTATATTACTATCACCAACGTATAATATTACGTTGGTTCGTCCAACAAATCTTAGGTTCCAGATTCTTCTGTTCCAGGTAGCCAAGATTCTTAATACAGCCTACCTAAGATTACAACGGAGATCTGTAATTCATAACAGTACACTCAGTTTAATATTACGTTGGTTCGTCCAACAAATCTTAGGTAGCCAAGATTTTTATTATACCTAAGACTACAACGGAAATCTGTAGGCCTAATTCATAACAGTACACTAAGTTGGGGCTCAATTTAACACCAATCAACAATAATTTATATTCTAAAACCTGGATACAGCTTAAACTTGGGTTGGTGCTACTTCAATCCATAGTCAATGGTATAACACATACATTGAAAAGTATTCAAGATTTTAAGAACTATTCCCAATGGAAATAACTGTTAAAGTTAAATATTTAATAAGAAAGAACTTGTTTAGTAGTAAAAAAAATATACTAATTGTTACTATTCTGACCTTAAACAAAGAGTTTGAGAGTATATATATCTCTCTGAAAGTTATTAATATATGTTTCCAACCACTTAAAAAATCCAATTTCAAAGCTCAGTAAATCCTTCCAATTTGCAACAGTTTTGTGGAGTTTGAATAGAAGCTTTGTTAACATTTCCCACCATGTTTTTAGCCGAAGGCGAGGCTATATGAATTAATTGCTGGGATTGTATGTTGAAATGATGGATTTGCTTTATCCTTATTTCATTTGTTTTGAACTTGAATTTTAACTAAAGATAAATTTTACAAAGGCAATTTTGAATCAGGTTTTGTCCATGTAATAATTACTAAGTTTGTACAGTATAACCGTTAAGGATTCACAGTCAACGGTATAACATTAGACCTACACTTAAGCTTGAGTAGCGAGCTGGTCTAGTGGTAGAGCGTAGGGCTTCGGTGCCAAAGGTCCCGGGTTCAAATCCTGCCAATCACCAATGGATTTTATCCATGTGATAATGCCGCAACCCATTACAACTAGTCCTTAGTAATGTGTAAAGCAGTTCTGGTGGCTATAACTAGCGTCCTGGAATATGAAAGTGAGACAAATAAAAAATAAAAAAGACTAACGTAACTGGTTCTTTAGGGTAAAATATATTCTAAAAAGGTACACATCTAACAAGATTTAGGAATTAACGGAATTATGTGATGTAGTGATTGGTTTACCTTGGTTTCATCTTCGACTACCCTTAGTCCATCGCTTGACACATGAAGTAAAGCTTTGACAGGTCTCCGCCGAGAGTTCTGCAACATACAAACATTTCATACAACTCGTACATAGCAGAAATATATACAGCATTACAAGGTATAGGTTAAGAATACCTAAGATTGTAGAATGTAAACAAAACTAAAAAAATAATTTTGGTGGTGTTAATGATACCATGATACCATGAATTTATAACAAGGTTTTCTCATTATAGACTGTTAATCTGTTCACAATAAAATTTGGGACTTATAATAGACTGTCACTGAATACAAAATCATAATGATTTCTTATTTATTGAAATTTCCTTGTGCTTTTAAACATTTACTAGTTTAGCAACAGATTTTGTACGAAGGTTCAATAAACTATAAATAATTCAGCGTACTATTTATAACTTTCTGTTTAGTTTGAATGTTAAGTTGGGCGAGGGGGTGCTATTGCTTATTTATCTTTTTACATTGTATCTATCTACTATGCTATGCATTTATAAACGGTTTTGTTTTTTTAAGGGAACGGTCCCAACCCTTTGAAATTGTAAACTAATGTTTAATATTTAATGACTTGGGTCATCAACTATGAATTAGCCATTTTCAAATGATTGTCTAATATTATCCTTTACAATATATATTTTGCAAGTCACCAAATTTACCTACTCAAAAGATAGGCCTATCACAGGAGATAAAACATTGTTCCCAAGAAGCGGAATGAAATCCACACGTGTGGATAAGCCAATGTCTGGGTAGAAAACAAGAGAAACCAGTCAAGACCGGTTTATCACCTGATCTCAGCTCTCGGCTACTTTTTGCACCATGCAAAGTTCTCAAACATATTGTATGTCTTGTGACTTTGTTTTCTTGTAGAGAAACTAAGAGGTCTAAATATAGTTTTTCTAGAAGCTAAAAAATTTCTTTATGGTCTAGTTTTGATTTCCATATGATATTTGGCCACCACATTTATGTGGGTTTTTACTATGGGGAAATGGACAAAACATTAAATTAGGTTTTCAATTCTTTGTGTTTCAAACATGGAAATTTTGTCATTTCATTTTTAGAATAGGACCCACTATGTGAACACAAATAAACTATTTTTTCCTAGTGAAATGCACGTTTGGATAAGATTAAACAGATATTTAATAATAAAAAAAGAAAAAAAAAATATTGCAAAAATGATCAGAAACTGCACCAATTTAGGAGCTGTACAAATTTTGAACCAAAATATTGAAACTATAGATTGATCGAAATAAAAATTATACTGACTTTAAATGCTTGGTTCTTTTTCATGGACAAATACTAAAATTAACTTATGGTTTGAGTAAGTAAATAAAAAAGACAAAGCAAAAAGCACACCATATAAACTTTAAACAGATAAAGGCCTGACAAAGTAGTAATTAAAGTTATCTTACAACATATAACCAAACTTTAAAATTTATCGAAGGCTGACTCATAAATTTAAAACTTCAAGGCAATTAAGATAAATTGAGTTGGGTCTTTGACTAATCGGATGGTTTTAGTTTCACACAAGCTATTAGACTGTTGTTAAACTTACCCGTAAAACTTTAAGCGCTTCTTCGCACACAGGCATTCCCCTTGACTCAAAAACTTCAACACATCCGAGATACTAAAACAGAAAAATAGTAAATTAAAAAGTTATCAAAGATTGGTTTTCTTAATACCTACCTATAAGCTAAGGTGTAAGTTGTATACAGTATACAACTCAATATTGGACAGTTAAAGCTAAATATTACGATATTACATATTTGTTGAAAAAATAACAACTGAGTAATAATTCTTCTCAAACAGATTTCATTACTACAGTAAACCTAATAAAATAGTCATGTTTCCAGAAACATTCATTTTGGTGTCCACTGTCAACAATTGGTGTTTTGTAACAATGTGAATCAACAAATCCCATTATGTTTGACTGTTGGATACAAAGCGTTACAAAGTTACATGGTTAACCGTGCAATGTAATCCTTTACATGGCACATTGTAGAGTACACAACCTCTCTAGAGTCAGGTGGTTTGATGTCTCTTGCTCTTTAACATAACTAACGTCCACGAGTGTAAATAATTCATGAAAAGACTTGGTCCTCGCTGCTACAGTGTTTGTGATGTGGCTTGAATTTAACGATGTGCAAGTTTCCAGCGTAAACTTTTGTTTGATCTTCTTCACTGAAAGATCCAAAGCTTTGTGCTATTGTGAATCTATGAATTATTGGAATTTAGTATTATCAAGTCAGACCATGAACATAGCAGATTAAAAATAAAATATAGTTTAAATTGAACAGAAAACAGGGACATTACTTTACTAACATTTAAACCTCAACTCTGGTTAGTCTGCCAATAGGTAAAGTTAACCATAATTCATTTGATAATGCAGATACTCATCGATGTTATCCCCTGTGTTACTCAAAAGACATTAAACTATGTTAAGCTTCCAGTAATTGACCAAATCTTTACTAGTGGGATGGAGATAGCAAAATATTGCATTACTTAAGATTGTATAGATAACCAAACAAAAGAATAATATACTTTAAAGCCAAACAGGATGAATAAATGATATTTTGTGTAGAAAACTATGTCTGTTGGAGTAACCTAGGTCCAGTCATCACTAGTGTATGACTTCTGGAACCTTAACCAGTTGGTCTCGTTATTACTACACTATGCATGGCAAGTATTAGTGCCTACCTTGACATGGAACTGGCAGGTGCCTGCCTTCACAGCCGACTCATCTGCCTGCCACTGATGAGGCTTGGAGCTCTCAGGAACGTGGTCCTTGCGGCGGCGGAAACTGTCGCGGAAACTCCGCCGCAGTCGGTCCATCCTACGAGGGGAGCGGCCCTGTAACAAACAGACAACGTCAGCTTACAACAATCAGTGGTAGATGTAGTATCACAGAATAAAGAGTTGTTACTCTAAACTCTAAACAAAAGAACAATATATTCAAAGAAGAATACAGAATTAGAGACAGCACACACGTTTTTTTGAAACAACAGCGCTATTATTTGTTTTTTGATTAACAATCATCTTATCTTACTATATATAATATTATAAATGTGAAAGTTTGTGTGTTTGTTTGTTTGTTTGTTTGTTTGTTTGAAGTTCAATCACGCATTAACTACTGGATGGATTGGGCTGAAATTTGACATGATGATAGCTCACATTCCTGATTAACATATAGGCATATTCTTATCCCAAAAATCCTTTCGGGCTCCGCCCCAGTGGCTCTGTAGTTCCCCATGTTAACCTTCATATTTAAAGGGAATTAAAGAATTTAGTCAGCTGTTTTAACTAAAAAGTTGGTTCTATGGTATGAAAAGCGTTAAAAAGTTATAAGATTTACCAACAGGGTGCAGCACTATTATTTTTTTGCATTTATGAAAACCAAAAAACTGTGATACGCAATGAGAACTGTCAAAGTAGGATTGTTTACAGTTATGTTTATGTTTTTAATTTCCCAAAAAAATAGTGATAATTTGCGAATTTTTGATAATTTATTTATCTCTATATTTTAGGTGAATTGCTAGAACAATATGGCTATGGTAGATGTGTAACACTATAGTATAATTTATATTTAAAGAAGCAAATTTTATCAAACTGTGTTCTCCCCCATTGCAAACGCCAAGCTTGAGTTTAACTGCAATAAGCATTTTATACTTAAGTGCCAACCCCGTACGAAGAACGGGTACTCTGCTAGTATTTTCATATTTTCAACACTTTCCTCTACCAATGCAATAGAGCTGTATCAGCTGATAATAAGACAGATGACAACCCTGAGACTACATCAGTATGTAATGTGCCATGTAATGTGTTCAGTATGCTTCCAGTGATGTCCTGGTGCTCACAATATGCACTGTGCAGTTGATAGACCTGTCTCCTGTCTGTGATATTTTCTTCTTGTTGTTAGGTGTAAAATTTGTTTGTATTTAACTTATCCTGACAACAGCTTAAAAATTTAACTTATTTGTCGAAGACCTTAGAGGAGTTTAAAACAACCACGATGGAATGTTTAATTTAATACTTATACATCTGACAAGTATAAGTCAATGATGAATATTATGCAGTTTCATGCATGTTTAGGTATCTATTACTTAAATATGGTAATGTCATTCCAGTTTTTAAGAAGGGATCAAAAGTAAACATAAATAATTATCGACCAATCACATTACTCTCAAACATATCAAAAAATTTTGAAAAGGTTATGTGTGATAACCTAAGTAGATTTCTTGAAAATAATTCTTTCTTTCACAATTACCAATTTGGCTTCAGAAAAAACATGAACACTCAAACAGCTCTATCAAATTTTGTTAACAAAACCATGTTGGCCTTGGATGAATCGCAGTATGCAGCTGGTGTTTTCTGTGATTTGTCTAAGGCATTTGACTGTGTCAATCATGAACTTCTAATTCACAAACTTAGTAAAATTGGAATAACAGGTAACATTCTTAAATGGTTTAGATCATATTTGGCAAACCGTAAACAAAGAACTCTCATCATAAAAAAGGGAATAAAGTACTATTCAGACTGGATAAATATAGAATGTGGAATTCCTCAAGGCTCAATTCTGGGGCCTTTATTATTCATCATCTATATCAATGACTTGCCCCAAAAAATTCTTTCAGAATTAATACTTTTTGCAGATGATACCACTGCTTTTGTGAAAGGCAACTCAATGTCGGAAGTGCAAATTTTAGTTAACAAAACTTTGGAAGATCTCCGTGAATGGTTTACAGCTAATGGCCTGGTACTAAACAGTGATAAAACAAACGTCTTATTTTTTCAAAAGTCAAACATGACAGATATTTCACAACAAAAATTTCTCGGAGTGATCATTGACCAAAAACTAAATTGGAAGGAACATATTGATTATTTGTTAAAAAAATTAAGATCATTCTTTTTTGCTTTTTCAGTTCTTTCTCAGTGTGCATCAAAAAATGTTATCAGAATAGTTTATTTTTCCCATGTAGAATCGATTTTGAGGTATGGCATTACCTTATGGGGAAATTCAAAAAATAGTAAAAAGATATTTTCAATGCAAAAAAGATTCATTAGAAATATGGCAAACGCTAAATTTAGGGCTTCCTGTAAAAAACATTTCAAAAATCAGTCCATATTAACTTTCCCCAGCCTGTTCATTTATGAAAGCCTTAATTATGTCCATGAAAATAAAAAAGATTTTGAAAAGTTCTTAATAAAAAATAAATACAACACTAGGAACAAGAACCTTTACAGTTACCCAATCCATCGGACAACAAAATTTGAAAAATGTCCTTTTTATACAGGCCTGAAGCTGTACAACCATTTGCCGAATAAATTTAAACAATTGGCAGTAAATGTTTTTAAAGTTAAAATTAAAGAAATTCTACTGGATAAGGTTTATTATTCCATCTCAGACTTTTTAGCAGACACCTCCTTGGGATAGTCATTGTACATTTTATTGTTATTGTAATCTTCTATGTTTTATGTAAAATGTTTTTTCCATTGTATTTTATTATTAAGATTTATGTAATTGACAAGACACCAGTTACTGCTATAAGCACCCAATGTAACGTTATTTGTGTCAATAAATTGATTTGATTTGATTTGTATACATAATATTTATCATCCCATCTCACAAAACCATAGGGCTATACGAAAAAATTTACTAAAGAATGATTTGGAATAATTTAGAATAGTGTTTAGATGGTTCATGAACCAAATAGTTAGAAAGCAAATAACCAGAGCTTATTGGAAAAGTTACTGAGGCTGTCTCAAAGATGGCTTCCGAGAAACTCAATATCATTACAAGGTGTTCTTATTAATGTATCCAGGAAACTTGATACCTTTGTGAAAATTCCTAGAGATATATCTGGGAAATGTAACAAAATATTTTTTGAGAAAATAAGTGAACAAATTAAGATTGGATGAAAATTTAATTAAAAGGGCAGGCCCTAATTTTGAGAAAAGAAACAAAAGAAAAGTCATTGAGGATTACCAAAGGTTCCTCCAAAAACCTTATATCAAAATGAGGCTCTCTATACGTATATGTTACAAGACACTTGATACCATTATACAAATTTAAAAAATGCAACCAGGGAACTTAATACCTTTGTGAAGATTCTTAATGATGATCCAGGAAAAGAAACTCAATACTTTCTCAACAGCTTCGTTGAAAATGTTTCGGAAAGTAGGTAAAATAAGTACTTACTTTCGGAAAGTAAGTAAGGTTTCCATTGAACGGTTTAACATTTTGAAAATAAAAGATACAAAAACTGTTTCTAAAGAAAGAACTTCACCGCTTTCATCAGATAAAAATAAACAATATTAATGTGTATTTCAAATTAAAATCTATTCTTGATGTTTTCAAAGAAAATCGGTTAATTATAGCAATTTATCATGTCTGGATCTGTTGTATCAACGCATTAAACATGCTCAACACAAAACTCAATTTGGCTTACACTAAGTGCCATCATAGGTCCAACACTTGCCTGTTGAAGATATAATTCACTTGAAATCCAATTTACTTCTGGAAGTACGGTTTGAGTAAAGAAGAGCAAAGTAAATAATGATTCGGGATGGATAATATTGAATCACTCTCAAAATGTACGAACAAATCAGCATTGAAAGCTAGCTAAGCAGATTAAAAATTATAATGATATTAATTTGTTTATTTTTTACAAAACAAGAAAATGAATCTCAAACAGAACAAAGTGCCAGATAAAACATGATCTAATGTGGTTTCAGGGAAATTATTTTTTATTAAAAATTTAAAACTATTTTAATAAAATAGTAAATGAACAGTAGCTTGATTGAATTTGATTAAATTGGATGGTTGCTGGTATTTGTTGTTGGTTCAAAAGTGATTTGCTTCATGTTTTCTTATGTGACATACTATGTAGCCTAAAATTCCACATACAGCATAAAAAAAACATATGTATAGTTCGGCCGCTTAGAAAGCGACCTCCTCCAGCATTTGTTTAGCATTAGCACGCAGGTCGTTTTCTAAGCGGCCGAACTATACAATGTTCTACATATTTAAACTATCGGTACAAATTTTTTTACATCTCGCAATATTAACCTACGCAAATTAAATTTGCTTTCTGATAATTGGAATTGTTGAAATTTGAAAAACGTAATTTGTAACTTGAGCGTGAAATGAAGCCAATAAAGGAACATTCAGTGAACCTTGGTAAATGGGGTAATGGACTTGGTATCGATGCCAACTTTAGATGGCTTCATGGCATCAACCAATAATGGGTATTGCTTCTGCCATTCTTGGACACAAATACCAAATACCATGAAGCTTTTCATACTGATTTAACCTTGATTGTAATCTTATGTACAGTCACTTAAATATATATATATATATATATATATATGTTTAAAAGGGAGCATGTAGCTAATTAAGGGAGGTTGTGTAAGAAAAGGGATAGAGTTAGCATTGTTTACAAATTAATAATCAATGGGCTTTTAATTTAATAAAATTGTACTCATAGTAAGCTATCCACGCCTTTCAAAAATGCATATTATGTTCTGCTAAATATGCCCATTGTGTCAGTAATGGTAAAACAATACAATTCAGTAAAGTAGTGTGTAAATATTGTTAATGAGTCAGTGTTGAATATGTTTCTAGCATGTATAATACTATTACAATAGTATATTTCATACCAATAGTAGAAAGTGAGTCATTACATATTTGAGACCAAGTTTGAAGTGAAACTTTCGCTACACTACAAAGAATTTCTTCTTCATTTAAATAATTTTCTTCATTACAAAACTCATCGAACTGTTTAGGTTATGCCTTCAATTTAAAGTTAATGTTTACTTTAGTTGTTGAAACTTAAAACAGTAGACCAAACAAT